TGATCCTATCTTTGAAGCTTCCTTTTAATTTCCGATCGGCCATTGACCTGATAAACAAAGACTCATCATTCCCCTTATAATTAATTATATGCATATTCATCAAGCAAAACGAAACGAAAAGAGGCTCCATTTCCTGTATTAGTCAAAATATTCAAACTAATATAGTTGTTAAAAAGTTTTCAAATGACCTTTGTGCTCGGTTGGTGGATCCAAAATCAATCTGGCCAATAAACAATTTGTTCAACATTAAAATTTAAAGGACTGTATATTTTTCATTTTAAATTAGAATTCAATTCTTTATGGAAAAAAAAAATATATTAATCATGTTTACCAAAATGACATCAACTTTGAAGGGGAAAAAAAGTATATTGTGTAGAGCAAGATTGTTCAACCCTTATCCTGCCATCGATTCAACCGGGTCCAACAGTAACCGGCCATCTAAACGACTTGAATACACACAAGTTTTGGAGTTTTCGGAAAATATCAAAATCGGGTTCAACCAGTTAAATTTGGCTCGGGTAAATTTGTGTGTGTGTGTTTATGTTCGGGGTTGGAGTCCAAGGACTAGGTATAGTGATTCAACAAATAGCGAACATAGGTGGCGCCAATTTTGAGGGGGTCGTTCTGCTTCCAAAACTCGACCTCTTTCCTGTGCATGAACCCTTCACTGCTCTTAACTCTAACCCTCTGTTCATCGAAGGTTCGAAAGTCGAAAAAAACTACTCTCCCTCTAAATCACCGTCACCATGAGGTATGAGCAAACGAACTCTCTATTAGTACATGAGGCCTCAAGCTGCGAACCTTGGTTGCATCTTCGTCCATAAGACCCATGCAAGAGCCCCAAAGTTAATCTGCTAACTTGAAAATTCGTTAGCAGATACTAACTGATATCCAAAATACATGAACTAGTATCCAAGTACTAAAGTATCTAGAGAGCACAGACTAGTATTCAAAGTTTGCTAACTGATATCCACCATGAATCAACTATTATCCCAAATTCACAAACTAATATCTAGACAACACAGAATAGTATCCATATAACACATAATTAGTATCCCGATAACACTTAAGAGTATCCAGATAACACATAAGAGTATCCATATTAAATACTAGTTGGTTGATTGTGGATATTAGTTGGTATCTGCTATCTGGATACTAGTTTGTGATGTTTTGAATACTAGTATGTGTTATCTAGATACTCAGCAGACTTGGATATTAGTTCATATATTTTGGATATTAGTTAGTATATACTAACGAATTTTCAAGTTAGCAGAATAACTAGGCTGATGCAAGAGGAGCATGAGACACATAAATTGGATTGTGTGCAAGAAAACTTGAGATGACTGATGTGTTGTCTCATTTGAGAAACTAGAGTCATATAGTACATTGATAGCTTGTTTGGTTTAATTCATGGAATTGACAATGGATGCACGTATATATATTTTTTTTTTACATTGCAATCCTATAGGGCATAGTACATAGATTCAATAGCAAAACCATCTTCAACCAGAATGCTCAGGTATGTCAGTTGTCAAGAAAAATTCATGTCATTTAGAGCATCCACAATGGCTTCCATTTGACAATTTCATTCTGACGTGGCTGCTGTCAATTGCTATTTCATGGATGTAGCAAGTCCTTTCACTAATGGAAGATTTCACTAAATGAAATTCTCTATGAAATTGCAAGTGGGTAGAATCGTGGGCCCAAATCTCACTTTTTGCCTTCTTTTTTCATTTTCACTTTCTTTTATAGTTTCATTCATATAGAAGAAATGTTTAGTTGTAATCATGGTTGTCATGCCAGTGGTATGCCGGCCGGTTGAACCAGGTCCAACCGGTACCGGTCATGAAACCGGCTGGAATACCACCGGTATGATGCTTCAGTCAAAACCGGTCAATTCCGGTCAAAACCGGTCAATTCCCGGAATACCGGTGGTTCAACCGGAAGGGTAATTTTCGGTCGTTGCTTGTTACAACACCGTTTTCACTACTGAGATTGCAAAAAAAAAAAAAAAAACACACACACAGATTCAGTTTGCGCAATTTGCTATTCGGCGCTTGTTCACTTTCTCCCCGCGGCGAACAGATCGCCATCGGCGGCCGACTTGCGAAACAGAGCACTCGACGATGCTCTTCACACGGTGACGCTCCAACAAATCATGGGAGACGAGCATAGGGTCTTCGGATCCTAGTCTCCGTCGCCAGCAATTAGCGCCGAGATCCGGCCATAAGAAGGGGGAAAATCGACAGATAAAGGAAGGAGATAAGAAGGAGGCCTCTGACTCCCTTACTTGCTCTGCTCTTCTTCTTCCACAAGCCAAAGCTAACTCCTTTTGAGATTTCAATGGCGGTGTTGATTTGGGGGGTTTTCATGGGCTTTGTTAATCAGAAGCGTCACTTTTTCAGAGAGAAAATGAGAGGAAGAAGAGAGGAGGAAAGAAGAGGCGGCTAGGGTAGAGGTGGATTTGGAAGTGGGTGCTTTTAGTTTATATAATGATCTCCACAAATACAATCTTGCCCTTCATATTTTGTTAAAACTGCAGCCCTGCCACCATTTTTGTTTCTTTTTATTGATAATTATACATATTTTTGTTAAACCGGCACAAACCGGCATAGATATCGGTTATACCACGGTCGGACCATTTCACTTATGAAACCGGCGCACCGGTACAAACCGGCGCACCGGTACAAACCGGTTTGACAACCTTGGTTGTAATAAAAAATTAGTTGGACCCACAAAATGAAATAAAAAGTTGATTTCGTAGAGAAAATGAAATTGATATGTAGTGAAATGGTAAAAGTGATTGATGTGGCGGTAGGAACCGCATATGAAATGAAAATGCTATTTCATGAATGTAGATGGTCTGATTGTTCTTTCCAACTTATTCTTGTCTCCCCGTCAAATCGAGGAATTGTTTGTTAAAAAGAAACGGAAAAAAACGAAACCAAGCCAAAAAGTATTGAGATCTGAGAGCATAGACCGATGGAAAAGAAAGAAGTCTATTGGCTAGTAGTTGCGATCCATTTGAATATGTTCTCATTTTCGGCGAGTTCATACTACATGAATATATTTGATATTTACCAAATAGTGAGTTAGAATTGGATCCAGAACATAATATTACAAAGACTTGTTTGTTAAAAAGAACTGAAGTCTTTCTTAATCCTTCTTATATCCAATCAAATAAGAAGGCCAGAAGAAAACAACTTCGCTGGTTGTTGTAGTGTTGTCGTTATATATGCACTGGATGAACAAAATTATACTACAGTCTATATACCAAATATTGATTGGTTTACAAATTCAAACTTTGGTTCCTTGCCAATGAAATTACCGGGAACTTCATTGATGCAATTTTGATATTTTTGTTGACGTTATGCGTGCGGGCGGGAAGTTGGTCGGATATGGTCACTCTAGGTTATATATATTAGTTTTTTGGCCCGCGCTTTGCTGCTGCAAAACTTACGTGATACACTTGTTTAACTATTTATAATGTAAGAAATAACTATCCATCCAAAATTTGTATGTAATGTGTTTATAATTTATGCACCTTTTATATTATGGTGTTACGTAAAAAATTTCGTAATGTATAATCTAATAATAAAATCAATTTACAAAAAGTATAATTTTTTAATAAACTATTATGTAAATAATATTAAATTACTTTATGAAATCTTTGTGTCATGCAAATTGATGAGATAGTGAATACCATATTAAATAATAAAGAAATTTTAATAAAAGTATCACATTTTATTAAACGGTTATGTGAAAAATAACTAACCTTATAAAACTTTTGTGTAATTAAAATTGATGAGATGGTAAAATTTTTAGTTAATAATAATAAAATTCATTAAAACATATATTACAGAAGAAATACAATATCATGTTTTTCTTCAGAAATATCTATCCCTTCATAAGTTAATATAATCTACGTAAGTTTTATAGCAGGGTGTTACGTAAATATTCCACAATGTGTGGTCTAATAATAAAATTAAATTATAAAAGATATCACATTTGATTAAACAGCTATGTAGATAGAGGAAATTAACCATTTAAAGCATTGGTGCTTTAGTTTTTGCCTTTATGGTGCAACTTGAAGTTGTACCTATATTTTTTTGTAAAATCCCTTTATGGTACAAACAAAAGTTATAGTTTTATGTTATAGTACAACTTGAAATTGTATCATAACATAAATGTCAAATTCCATATGGTACAACTTCAATTTGTACCTTTAACGTTACGGTACAGCTTTAAGTTGTACTTTAAACCAGGGGTGGCTATACAGTTCGGTCCTATTAAATTGGCCTGAATTGATCCGGTCCCGGTCCGGTCTTTTCGGGAATATAAGGACCAAAGATTGGATTGGATATAGTCGGTCTTGACCCTTATCTAGTCCAAATTCGGTGTTGATTTTAGATTGAGCTAGTGGTAATTTGAGTGGCCTGAGGCCTCAAAGGATGAAGAGTTGGTTAAATGTTGGGTGTTGGGCTCTCTTATCCGGTTTTTATCCGATTTTTGATCCGGTCCCAAATGATTTCTTACCTCAAATCTAAGCCAGAATAAGAGATTGGATTGTTTGTTATCCGGTTTTGATCCGGTCCCAGTCCGGATTATACGGTCTGGTTTCAGATAAAACCACCAATACTTTAAAGCATAGTAGAAGTGCTCATGTAGATGATCCTTTTTGTATAATTCCGTAAATGCTTGTACATACAATCGACTCCTTTATGTATGATTTCTAATATGCTACCGGCATATTATGGGTTTTTTAAGAAACAAAAATCTATTCATAAGTTAATATAATTTATGAAACTTTTATAGCACGGTGTTACATAAATATTTTGTAATGTGCAATAGCTTTCATAACATGGTATTGCATAAATATTTTGTAATGTCGGTCTAATAATAAAATCAAATTATTAAAAGTATCGCATTTGATTAAACTACTATGTATTTGATTAAACTACTATGTAGATAATCCTCTTTGTATAAGTCCTCGCACCTCGCTGGCCCAGCGCCTCGCTCTGCTGCGACTGACGGTGAGCCCACAAGGGCACTGTTTCCAGGATGTCACCGAATTGTGGGAACACAAAGACTTTGGAATTCACTATCTCCAACTGAACGATATTTTCAACTGGCCCTTTCATGGGGTCAGCATGGCGGGCCTCACCACGTGGCCACGCTGCCTATTGAAATACACCATGCCGATTCGGGAGAAGCAGCTTGCCACGACGGCGACCACAAGAGGGGTGAGCAAGGAGAAGTACGAGGAGATGAAGAGAACGTTGAAAAAGAAGGAGGAGGACCTGGAGAAGCTGAGGGAGGAGATGGAGGAACAAGACGATGAGCTTCAGAAGCTGAAGGAGGAGATGGAGGGGGCGAGCGAAAAGCACGAGGCGGAGCTACGAGATCTGGAGATGAAGAAGGACGAGGAGCTGCGAAGGCTGGCGAAGATAAAGCAAGACGAACTCGAGACGCTGAGGAAAGAGAAGGCCGAACACCACGAGCTGGAGCAGCAACGTCGCAAGCAATCGTGGGCGATAACAGCCACGACACGATACTTTTTGAACGACACGGTTCTCAAGAGCAGAAGGCAGGCGGTGCCATTGGCGCCTCCACGTGGTTCCCGACGACAATGGTGCAACTGGTGGATGAGGAGCCTAGAGATTGGAAGCCTCCGCCAAAGATTATCTCTCGTGTTTGGGGTTCGGGGTGTTCGACAAGCAGAACTGGTGGTTCGTGAAGACGACGCATCCGGACGGCAGCGTGACGATGGTAACTTATTATGACGGCAACCAGACTTGGTTCGATGGGCTCGGCTACCCTATCCCGCTTCCTGTTGCTAGGACACATCGTTTTGATACCAACACGCCGTTCTTCTTTGTTTATGTGGTTGACAGATACAAGCTTGCTTTCATGTACCGAGACTAGTTTAGCGAGGGTGATCCTCGTTGGAGGCTTAGGATAGGGTGAGTAACCCTTTTTTACTCACCCGTGAGTAACCACCTTAGGACCGTAGATCTGGGCCGGGCTGATCGTGTGGTTGTGGTTGATGCGGTGATGTCAGGGGCATTTTTGTCCGATTTTTTGAATTAATGACTTCCCCCTTTTGTCCGTTGCGAATCTTTCTGTGCGCGAGTTGGATTCGGTTTTTGGAGAGAGAAACTACGAGAAGGGGAGCAGCAGCTGAGAAACAAGGACGACGATTCTCCATGATTGATCGACGGCGATAGAAACTGCGAGCAGCAGCTTCGAATCGAGCTTTCTGATTCTCCATAATTGATCGACGTGTGCGCGAGTTGGATTCGGTTTTTGTAGAGAGAAACTGCGAGCAGCTGCTGAGAAACAGGACGGCGAATCTTTCTGATTGTCCATAATTGATCGACGACGAGGTTAGATATTAGTTTTTTTATTCTTCCTGTTTAGCTAATCGAGTTTTCTGTTGATCTCTGGTTTCGTTGGGGGTTTTTCATTGCTGCTAGTCGAGCTTGTTTATGTTTAGCTAATCGAGCTTGTTCATGTGTGTTATGTTCTTTGTGATTTTGGTGTTTTTGCAGTATTCTGGTGAGATGAGTTACGTAAATTGTGGCGATGTTGTTCCAATTGATAGATCTGGTTCTTCAACCAGCGTTGTAGGATCTGGTTCTTCATCTAGTGCTGTTGGAACGGCTTCTTCATCTATCGATCTTGGATTTGATCATTCAGCTAACTCTGGTGAAATCCGGAGGTAAGATATACAAATTTGTTTGTTTATTGAAGTTTGAATGTGTTAGATACCATATGGTACCATGGCGGTAATTACTGGTATACGATGAGAGGTGATACTATAGTGTTGTTTTGTGATGTTATTGTGCTCTGTATTTAAGTTTACCATACCATACCATGGTGGTAATTACTTGTACCATGTTTGGAATCATTGGTATAGTGTCGTAATTTGATTTTACCATGCCTTATCATGTGGTATAGTGTGGTAGTTTCAAGTTAAAGGTGGGGTTATGTGTGGTAATTGATTTTACATTGCATTACCATGTGGTAAAATGTGGTAATTAGGAAGTTAAATGTGAGGGTTCTGTGTGATAATTGATTTTACCATGCCATACCATATGGTATAGTGTGGTAAATTGATTTTACCATGCCATACCATGTGGTATAGTGTGGTAGTTTGATTTTACCATACCATGTGGTATAGTGTGGTAGTTTGATTTTACCATGCCATACCATGTGGTATAGTGTGGTAATTTGATTTTACCATGCCACACCATGTGGTATAGTGTGGTAGTTTGATTACCATGCCATACCATGGTGGTAACTCTTGTATCATGGTTGTAATTATTGGTATACATTGAGATTTCATACTGTTGTGGTGTGGAATCCATTTTACCATATCATACCATGGTGGTATTATATTTGTACATATTTAATATGTTGCTTCATAATGTTTGTAGGTTTCAATGGTATAGATCCTACTGTTCGTGATTCTTGGAAGGACTTAGAGTTCAATACACCAGATGATTCATATAATTTTTATGTTGATTATGGGAATCATGAAGGTTTTGGTGTGAGGATTTATAACAAATCAGCGTGTCCGAAGCTCAATGGTGGTTCTTCAGCTGTATATTATATCAAGTATTGTTGCAATAAGGAAGGTTGGAAAAGAGGTAGCGAGAATAACCCTGATAATGTAGGTGTTGTTGATACGACGGTTCGTGTTCGTAATGTTCCAGAACTCAGGGGTGGATGTAATGGTGCTTATATACGACTGAGGTGTTTAAAGAGTTTAAATGCTACAAGATCTATCGTTGGTATAATGTGCACAACCATGACATGATTCCTGAGGGTCTGCGTCACTATGTGAGATCCAGCAGACGAATGACTCCTGTGTATAAGATGTTGGTATTGGAGTGACTTCTTCGTATAATGCAATTAGTAGGGCTGGTGGTGGTCGGAAGTTTGTTGGGTTCACAAAGAAATGATTTGAAGAACCATCTGCGAACGGTGAGGACGTTATCAATGGAGTATGGTGATGTGACTGCATTGCTTGAATACTTTAGACGTCAAGCACAGCTGGATCCTTGGTTCTTTCATGAGGTGGAGGTTGATGTTGAAGAGAACATTGCTAGTATTTTTTGGGCAGATGGGAAGATGAGGATGGATTATCATTATTTTGGTGATTAAATTAGTTTTGATACTACTTACCGGACTAACAAAGAGTTTCGGCCACTAGGTATGTTTTTCTATTTTGTTGTTTATTATTGTCTTTGTGAGTTTGTATGATTATTATTATTATCATTCTGTATCATGGTTTTTTGTTCTTACAAGTCTGTACCATATGGTATGGTTGGTATGGATTGCTTTTTTGTTCTTAAAAGTATTTTACCATATGGTATGTGTTGGTAACAAGGTTATTTGAGGTGGTTTTTGGGTTGTTAGAAGTCTGTACTATATGGTATGGGGTGGTATGCATTGTGTTTTTGTTCTTAAAAGTCTTTTACCATATGGTATGGGTTGGTAACAAGGTTATTTGAGGTGGTTTTTTACGTTGTTAGAAGTCTGTACTATATGGTATGGTCTGGTAGGGATTGTTTTTTTTTTGTTCTTAGAAGTTTTTACCATATGCTATGAGTCTTTACCATATGGTACGGGTTGGTATTATTGTTATTCATACCTTTTACCACATGGTATGTGTTGGTAGAATTGTTTTTACTCACATTTTCTTATGTTTTTGTAGCTTTGTTTGTTGGTTTCAACAATCATCACAAACTGACTGTCTTTGCGGCTGCTCTTCTATATGATGAAACAACGGCAACATTTGAATGGCTTTTCGATCAGTTTTTGAAATGCATGGGAGGTGTGAGACCGTTATTCATGTTTACTGACCAGGCTGCTGCAATTGCTGCTGGTATAAGGTCTGTTTTCCCAGATTGTTTTCATGGATTGTGTACATGGCATATTGCTCAGAATGCAGTTGTTAATCTGGGAAGTTTGTGTGACTCTGACTTCCTCGTGAGCTTAGTTATTTGATGTATAATGCTGATGATGAGGATGATTTTGAGTATATTGAAAGAAGATGATTGAGAAGTGTTTTCCTGGGAAGGGGCCTTTGGGACACAGTTGGTTACAGGGCATTTACAAAGTCAGGAAGAAGTGGTCTTCAGCCTGGGTTAATTGTCATTTTGGTGCGGGAATGAAGAGTACCAGCTAGTGAGTGCTGCAATAGTAATATTCGACATTACTTGTAGTCAGAGTTTAGCGTTAGTAGATTCTTTGTGCACTTTGAGAGGATGCTTGATAATAAGAGGGATGCTGAAGAACAAGAAGAGTACTATGTCTTATCTAGGTTGGCTGATTCTCGGTTTTCTACTAGCCCTATTGTGAAGCAAGTTGCTAATGTGTGTACGCCGAAGATATTCAAGTTTTTTCCTGGATCAGTACAAGGAATCTCTTGCGTATAATATTTTTTCAAATACGGAGATAGAAGCAGAAGGACATGTAGGAATGTTTGATGTCTTCATATTGGAGGATGACCTTACAAGGTTGGATAGTAGGGTGTTGAAGGTTGATTTTGATAACGGTGAAATCAAGTGTTCCTGCCGTAAGGGGATTCAAGTGATATGATCTGTAAGCATCAAATTAAGGGATATGATATGTTGTGTTCTACAACATGCAATCTGAAGTTCCAGCACATTCCTAACAGTTTGATTTTGAAGCGGTGGACAAGAGCAGCAAAAACTGGAGGAACTTTTCTTTTGAAGTTCCGTCTACTGATAGTCCATCGAAATATCGTTCTCGTCTTTTCAATCAATCAGCTGTTTCTGCATCAATGATCAGCAGGGTTTCACTTGATGATGATTTGTATAAATCAGCCATGGCCTTCATGACTGATTTGATCAAAAAAATGTGAAGCCCTATCGATTACTGAACCTGCTGGAACAAGCACGTCTTCTAACGGTGACGGTAAGTTTTTAATTATTTAGAGTTTTGTGTTTTAATGTATGCAACTGTCTAGAGTTTTGTGTCATTGATTTTAGTTTGTATTTGTTATCTTGGTATAGATGATGTACCTGTCCAAAAAGTGAAGGGGTTTTAAGCCTAAAAAAGATTCATTCAAGCCTTCGAAACGACCAATTCCAGTTGCGGAGGCTACAAGGGCTGTAAGTAAGAAGAAGAGAAAAACTAGCAGGCTTGAGGAGGAGAATTTGAAGGGCTGTTGAAGAAAGTTTAAGGCTGAAGCTGTAATAGTTTTCTTAGAGGATTATTTGAATGAATAGTTGATGCTGGTTGAGTTGTTGAAGCTATTTTGTTCTTTTGGATTGGTTTTGGTTTTGTTGGATTTTTGTCTTGTCTTGTTGAATTAATTTTACAATGTCATACCATGTGGTATAATGTGGTAATTTGATTTTATCATGTCAACCAGGTGGTAAAATGTGCTATTTTGGAAGTTGAATGTGAAGGTTCTGTTTTATAATTGATTTTACCATGCCATACCATGTGGTATAGTGTGGTAGGTTGGAAGTTCTGTGTGATAATTGAGTTTACATTTGCCATACCATATGGTATAGTGTTGTAATTTATTTTACCATGCCATACCATGTGGTAAAATATGATATTTTGGAAGTGGCATGTGTTGTCCTGGTGGTAATTGATTTTATAGTGCATTACCATGTGGTAAAATGTGGTAATTTGGAAGTTAAATATGAGGGTTCTGTGTTATAATTGATTTTACCATGCCATACCATATGGTATAGTGTGGTAATTTGATTTTAACCATGCCATACCATGTGGTATAGTG